ATTAATAGAGCTGCCTGGTTATATTAGAGTTGTAATTATATAGTTATTGTACGAATAGGAGAAGGCGCCAGAAGAGATATACAAGTATAGTAATAATATAGTAATTTAGGTCAATTTTCAGTCTTGTAATGAAGGGAAAATATAATCATATGTGGAAAGTCTTAAATCCTGTTATATAGAAAGGCTAAAGATTTATTATCATATAAGAAATAAGTAACACTGTGTCATAGAAGAAAAAGAAGTTTACATGAGAAGAATATTGGCGATTAATTAAGCTGTCAGGTAAAGTAAGATAATCAGGTGAAGTTCTCAGAGTGTGAGTGGGAGGAGAGTCGTAACTAATTTATTTATCCCAGCTGCAAGTCTTTAATATATGATGTGTTATATATCACATTATAGTGAGGTATTGTGGTTATAGTGACATATAGTGTGTTTTAAGTTTATAGTGAGATATGGTGTCTTATATCATTTTATAGTGAGGTAAGGTGGTTATAGTGGCATACTGTATGGTGTGTTATATTAATTTTTTGCGATGACCTAACATATAAACTTACAATTCTGTGTGTGTGTGTGTGTGTGTGTGTGTGTGTGTGTGTGTGTGTGTGTGTATTTGTATTTCTGTATATATATTAAAGGTATTTAGACAGACAGACAGACAGACAGGTATTTACGTGGCAGGTCAGGGGGTCAAGAACCAGAAGATGAAAAGTGATATTGACAGGAGTCAGTGAGTTGTGTGGTCAGTGGGAAGTGCTGGGCCAGTGTTCGCAGTAGACAGAAGGATGGATGAGACAGACAGACAGACAGATAGACAGACAAAAACATAGACAGAAAATACTGGTTGAGATGTGCTAGGAGCTACAGGGGTCAGATTGGTCAGAAAGAAAGACACTCAATAATGTAAACCGGAACTGGTAGCTGTGTGTCGCTCTGTCTCTGGTGACCTGGGACGGTAGACAGTGACCGCGTGGCGAGAGACGGGTGGGGGGGACGCAGAATTTGTAGACAGTCAAAAGAAATATCTGTACCGAAGTGAGCTATGAATTCCCAAATGAACACTATGACTCCTGTTGTCTCGGTAGGGTTGTCATAATCATTCGTCCGTTGTGTCATATTGTCTCGACACAAATTTGGATGGATAGTTTTTAGGTTGTATGTGTGCATAGGATAGAGCTGTAGGTGTGATAGGTGATAGGCAGGGAAATAAGGTTAGAGACAAGAACATAGACAGAGAGAATTATAGGTGTAAAGATTGATAGACAGACAAAGGGACATATGTACAATTATACAGACAGATAGACAGAGACAGGATGTAAAAAGAGAGACAGACAGACAGACAGACAGACAGACAGACAGAGGAAAGACACACTTCCTATGAGAGTAACAACAAATATTGGACACAACTTCTGTTATTATGTTCTGTGTACCGGTGAGTAGGGCCAGACACAGGTGTTGTAAGTCACCAAATGATGAGACAGGTTTATTGTGTACACCTGATCATCTACGATAGCTCTCCTCCTCCTCCTCACTCCCACCTTGCAACTTTATAAATATCTGCAAACTTGACATTACTTTACCTGGTCTATATTTCCACCTAGGGGAGAGAGAGAGAGAGAGAGAGAGAGAGAGAGAGAGAGAGAGAGAGAGAGACTGCAATAAAAACAATTTTCAAGAGGCGTGTTGTGCTGGCCTGTCACCCAAAAATTTATACGTTGGCCTGAGTGTGTCGCCCTTTGATCCTACTCTCTCTCTCTCTCTCTCTCTCTCTCTCTCTCTCTCTCTCTCTCTCTCTTTCTCTCTTTCTCTCTCATATTCACACTGTTTTAGTTTTTACACACTGTTCGTATGGTGATAATTTAAATATATGCATTCCCATTAACACTCGATGAAAGAAACATTAGTGCATTTTTAAGTAATTCTGACTATTTTCATTATTATGTAATTGTATTAAAAGCGTTCGTGTTACCTGGGGATAAAGGTGTAACCGGTAAAGCCTTAAGTGGCTAAATTTATTCGGGAAAGATTTTTTTATGGAAACTTTCCTAACTAGGTAACGGGGAAATTAATTTTATTCGCCTTCATTAGTGTTGACGCGGCAACACCAAACGACTTTTATATAATAGAAAAAATATATCTTGAAAACTTTAAAAATTATTAGAGAATTAGAGGAAAAAATGTTGTCCATAGGTGATATTTTTTCGAAGGTGAATTATATGGTTTTAAGAAATGAAAGAAAAGTGATTTTATTTATAGGAAATGAAAGAAAAGAAGGAAAGAAAAATGTTTATAGGAAATGAAAAAGAAAAATTACAGTAATATATCTTATATCTACTGAAATAAAGTTATATGTATATTTTATTAATGAAAACAGGAAATTGTTCTTGATAACATTGCAATAAAGTTGATGAAATAATGTTTAAATCTTATTATATTGCCAATCGTTAAGTGATCGTTTTTATTACTAGGAAAAGGTAAAAAATATAGAAAAAGTTTATATTTGCTTAATTTTCACAAGGTTAGTCTTATACAGTAGTGTATATGTATGTGACGACCTCACAAGCTAGTGTACCCGGGTTCGATCCCCGGGCAGGGTGAAACTATGGGCAAGTTTCTTTACGTCATTTGCCTCTGTCTACCCAGCAGTAATTGGGAACCTGGATGTTGATCGATTTGCGGATTGTATTCCGGGGTAATGGTTAGCCAGTGCAGTTGGCGAGTTGTCCGGTCTTCTCGGACTATTCCTCTACACTGGGTCATGCAGCTCGTTAACTCAGGGTGTGGTTGTTGTGTTGGCGACAGCTTCTACACCTTAAACACTGGGTCATGTAGCTCGTTAACTCAGGGTGTGGTTGATGTGTTGGTGACAGCTTCTACACCTTAAACACTGGGTCATGCAGCTCGTTAACTTAGGGTGTGGTTGTTGTGTTGGCGACAGCTTCTACGCCTTAAACACTGGGTCAAGCAGCTCGTTAACTCAGTGTGTGGTTGTTGTGTTGGCGACAGCTTCTGCGCTTAAACACTGGGTCAAGCAGCTCGTTAACACTTGGGTCATGTAGCTCGTTAACTCAGTGTGTGGTTGTTGTGTTGGCGACAGCTTCTACCTTAAACACTGGGTCAAGCAGCTCGTTAACTAGGGTGTGGTTGTTGTGTTGGCGACAGCTTCTACACCTTAAACACTGGGTCAAACAACTCGTTAACTCAGGGTGTGGTTGTTGTGTTGGCGACAGCTTCTGTAAACACTGGGTCAAGCAGCTCGTTAACTCAGGGTGTGGTTGTTGTGTTGGCGACAGCTTCTACACCTAAACACTGGGTCATACAGCTCGTTAACTCAGGGTGTGGTTGTTGTGTTGGCGACAGCTTCTACACCTTAAACACTGGGTCATGCAGCTCGTTAACTCAGGGTGTGGTTGTTGTGTTGGCGACAGCTTCTACACCTTAAACAACTTCACGCCTAGGTGGCCCTAGGTGTCGGCCATCCTCGTACACGAGGGGCAGCCATTATGTAAGAGTCATAAATATAAAGGTGATTCTGTACATATTTATAGTAAGGTACAGGATATATATTTGTATAAGAATTAGGAGAAGCATAAGGTTGGGTTGTATTGGGCTGGGATAGGATAGGATAGGATAGGATAGGATAGGATAGGATAGGGAGTGATGTGTTGGTGTGGCTCAAATAATCGTCTTATTCCTCTTTCTTCCTCTTACTCTGTTTTCTTCTCATTTCTCTTTTTATTTTTTTATTTATTACCAAATTTATCACCAATTAAAGATGACAAAAATGGCACCATTTTTTTCCGGAAACGACTCCAAATTTTTATACTAAAATCTTGGGTTTAGATTAAGTCAAGTTGAATTAGATTAGGTTAACTTTAGTGAAGTTGGGATGGGTTGGGAGGAGGTTATGTAGGTTAGGTTAGGTCAGGTTAGGTTAATCTTGGTTTGGTTACTTTTGGATAGGTTAGGTTAGGTTACGTTTGGATAGGTTAGGTTAGGTTAAGGTAAATTATTGTACGTTCAATGTAACTTGGTTAGGTTACGGATTTTGGTTCGAGATTCATTGATCCGGAATCAGGTTCAAGGTTCAGTGATTCGGGTTTGAGATTCACTGAGATCTGGGAGAAAAAACTGTCCTCCTCCGCCTGACTGAAATAATTTTTAGTGAATATCTTTAACTTTCGGACCCACGTATGTTATTGGAGGTGTCGAGGGAAGATGCCAAGAAGGAGGGGAGAGTGGGAGGGGTGGAGGAGAGTGTGTGGGAGGGGTGGAGGAGAGTGTGTGGGAGGGGTGGTGGAGAGTGTGTGGGAGGGGTGGAGGAGAGTGTGTGGGGAGAGGTGGAGAGTGTGCGAGGGGTGAAGGAGGTGTGTGGGAGGGGTGGAGGAGAGTGTGTGTGGAGGGGTGGAGGAGAGAGTGTGTGGGGAGGGTGGGAGAGAGAGTGTGTGGGAGGGGGAGAGGGGAAATGAGAAGGGACAGGTAATTTCTGGGACGATGATCACAGACCTCGCACCCTCCATGACCTCCCACTCGACTCTCCCCTCATCTAATCACCCCGCCACCTCTCACCCCTCACCCCGCCACCTCTCACCCACTCTACTCTTATCTGAAACGTCTTTTCATCTCTCCCTAACCTAACCTAACCTAACCTAACCTAACCTAACCTAACCTAATCCTCAGCCCAACCACTTAGACCACTTGGCACCCCACTCTAACTCTCCCCACCAACCCTTAACCCCACTCTCCTCCCTAATTCTCATCCCACTTTCGGCTCCTCTTTCTCTCAACTCTCCCTTCTCTCAGTTCTCCATTCTCTCAGCTCTCCCTTCTCTCAGCTCTCCCTTCTCTCAGCTCTCCCTTCTCTCAGCTCTCCCTTCTCTCAGCTCTCCCTTCTCTCAGTTCTCCCTTCTCTCAGTTCTCCCTTCTCTCAGTTCTCCCTTCTCTCAGCTCTTCCTTCTCTCTCAGCTCTCCCTTCTCTCAACTCTCCTTCTCAACTCCCCCAGGTCCCCCCCCCAGGTCCCTCAGGTCCCCAAGGTCCCTCAGGTCCCCCAGGTCCACCCAGGTCCCTCCAGGTCCCCCAGGTCCTCCCAGGTCCCCCCAGGTCCCCAGGTCCCTCAGGTCCCCCAGGTCCCCAGGTTCACCCAGGTCCCCTAGGTCCCCAAGGCCCCCAGGTCCCCAGGTCCTCCAGGTCCCCCCAGGTCCCCCAGGTCCCCAAGGTCCCCAGGTCCCCAGGTCCCCCAGGTCCCCCAGGTCCCCCCAGGTACCCCAAGGTCCCCAAGGTCCCCCCAGGTCCCCCAGGTCCCGACTAAGTTATCTCCCTAACCGATGATGCTAGAACCTGTCTAACTGACTCACTTAAAGGTCAACTTCAATCTACCTTTTGTTGTTGTTGTTGGTGTTTTCTTTTGATGTTGTTGTTGTTGTTGTTGTTGTTGTTGATGTTTTTCTGTCTAGTTAATGATAAACCCAAAGATGTAGTTTAGCCAAACCTTAAAATTCATTGAAACAAAAAACACACTTGAAGTATTTTTTTGGGGTCTCTGTTTTTCATTCGTGGCGTCATTAGATGGCCAGTAACCATAGAGAACTGTAGAAATTATAAAGTTACTAAAGTATAATTACAGTTTAAAATTCTGTTTCAGTTTATACGGGAATTAAACAATCTATTACTCTTTTAAAACAGAATATTCTAAAAATAAAAGCATTGTTTGAATTATGTTTGAAACAATATGACACCACGGACGAGGGATAGTGGAATATGTCCTGTGATATGGTGGTAACCCTGCTGTCCTTGGCTCATATATCCTGCCGTATATATATAAGTGATGGTAGAACTGAATGTGAACACGCATACCAACCCTCCCGGTACAGCAGGTGATGTATGGGTCATTACGGGAATTAGTAGATCTCACCTGCTGGATACTTTGATTACCTAGACCGTGAGGTGGGCGACAGTAATTACTTCTCACTCACTCACTCACTAACCCTGACCACCATCCAATTAATCAGAGTGCCACTTCCTTGCCAGTCAACCAACCAAACCTTCACTTAGTCATCCAGTCAGCCTCCTAGTCACTCATCAGCCATTCAGTCACTCACCTAATTAGCCAATCATTACATCAGTCAACGACTAATCCACCAATCATCCAACCTTCCAGTATATTAGCCAATTTACCAGTTACCCAATTACCACTCATCCACTCAACACTCCAGTCATTTAAACAGTTAGTAAACCAATTACCCAGTTAGGTGTTACGATCGTGTCTTCTCATTAATTATTATTTTTTTCTACACAAATTAAAAAACAAAAATTTCGTTATCTTGAAGAAAAATGTTATATAACGCAAGTAATATTTTGTTTGTTAATTATACACCAAACTAGATATCCCTACTGTGAAAGTTGCCCTAATATGTGTAGTTATGTTACTGAACTTTTTTGGGGGGTTATGTACACGATTAATACAAGTTTGAGAACCATTGATAGTAATAAAGAGTCGTATGCTAAACAACCAGTTACATCAGTTAAGGAACCACTAGCATACATGCCTATTAAATATCCAGTCTATTATTAAGAGTGCCAGTCAAACCATTAGTGCCAGTCAAACCATTCTATCAATATTTAGTTACATACAGTCAACACCATCGACTGGTTCACCGGCTCAAACGACTTTAAACTGACCTATTAGTTCTATGAGGGTCAGATAGTTAATTGACAGTCAGTTTATCAGAATTGACTGTTAGTTGAGCCTTAATGACTGTAATTATAATGAGTCAACTTAGGTAAAAATCTAAATCGTTTTTAATTTAATATCTCAAGATCTTACTGAAGTTCTAAGTATTTTTACGATGGTTAATTTACACACACACACACACACCTCACACACACCTCTCACACACACACACACACACACACACACAATCTCTATCACCTGAACATTAGTACCCCTAGTTTATTTCACCTTAAAATTAACCTAACCTAACCTAACCTAACCTAACCTAACCATCAGAACTACACAATGAAAAATATATATCCACAAAGTATTAAAAGAGGATAAACAAAAAATCCACATATACACAACACACCACACACCACACCACTCCACACCACACACCACACCACACCCCACACCACACCACACCACACCACACACCACACCACACCACAACTGTCAAAATCTGTCCCCCAAACTACAGAATTTTTACCACTATACACCAAATAACTGTGGACGCATCAGTGAACTGTATGACAGGTTTTATACAGTTCACAGTCCAGTGGTTTGGGTGAGAAGAGCAGGCAGCACCGCACGACTGACTGCTGTACTGTACGTGGTTTGTGCAGCTGTCCTTGTACTTGAGAATAATTACTGTGTTTAAAGGAGGAAATCTGGTGGTAATGCTGAGAGCGAGAGATAATGTGATGAAACATACATACATACATACATATATACATACATAAATACATACATACATACATACATAAATACATACATACATTCATACATACATATATACATACATAAATACATACATACATACGCACGCATCTACATGATCTACAGTACCTTGAGAGGAGAGCAATATACATTTGAGACAGGGATATTTTTTTTTATGAAATTTTGGCTATTTTTTTTCATTAATATATTTAGAGAAAATCTCAAAGTATATAATTAAGTCAATTTAATTTATTATGGTGTAAGATTATTATATACGACTAATTACCTGTTATAAATAAATGATATTAATGTGTATTTTGCATTTCCCTAATTATTTACCTTTTTCCTACAGGTAAGTGTGAAGGAGAGGCGGGTCACCACCAGACGATACCGGCTCATGTCAGGTCAGATCAGGTCATCTTAGGTCATTTTCATTTGTTGTTCATCCCATTAACAAACTTAATCCCCCTTCCCCCCCTACCTTCAGGTCAGGGTGTTACAAGCCCCTTAGGTTAACTTTCCCCATTAATTAACGTAAAAGAAAATGTGTTTTGTTAAATTCGACTTTGCGATGAAATTTTAACACCACCATTTTGTTAGTTATTTTTCACCTTGGGTCAGTTAATGTGTTCGTTGGGCTGTTGTCATGATGAGTAAGTTAATGTAGGAACCCTTGAGTTAATGTGTTCGTTGGGGTGTTGTCATGATGAGTAAGTTAATGTAGGAACCCTTGAGTTAATGTGTTCGTTGGGCTGTTGTCATGGTGAGTAAGTTAATGTAGGAACCCTTGAGTTAATGTGTTCGTTGGGCTGTTGTATGATGAGTAAGTTAATGTAGGAACCCTTGAGTTAATGTGTTCGTTGGGCTGTTGTCATGATGAGTATTAAGTTAATGTAGGAACCCTTGAGTTAATGTGTGTTCGTTGGGCTGTTGTCATGATGAGTAAGTTAATGTAGGAACTGGAATTAATGTGTTCGTTGGGCTGTTGTCATGATGAGTAAGTTAATGTAGGAACCCTTGAGTTAATGGTAATTTCATTTGGGCTGTTGTCATGGTGGTAAGTTAAATGTAGGAACCCTTGAGTATAATGTGTTCGTTGGGCTGTTGTCATGGTGAGTAAGTTAATGTAAAGGAACCCTTGAGTTAATGTGTTCGTTGGGCTGTTGTCTTGATGAGTAAGTTAATGTAAAGACCCTTGAGTTAATGTGTTCGTTGGGCTGTTGTGTGATGAAGTAAGTTAATGTAGGAACCCTTGAGTTAATGTGTTCGTTGGGCTATTGTCATGATGGAAGTAAGTTAATGTAGGAACCCTTGAGTTAATGTGTTCGTTGGGCTGTTGTCATGATGAGTAAGTTAATGCTTAGGAACCCTTGAGTTAATGTGTTCGTTAGGCTGTTGTCATGATGAGTAAGTTAATATAGGAACCTTGGAGTTAATGTGTTCGTTGGGCTGTTGTCATGGTGAGTAAGTTAATGTAGGAACCCTTGAGTTAATGTGTTCGTTGGGCTGTTGTCATGATGAGTAAGTTAATGTAGGAACGCCAGGTTAATGTGTTCGTTGGGCTGTTGTCACTTGATGAGTAAGTTAATGTAAAGGAACCCGCTTGAGTTAATGTGTTCTGTTTGGTGTGTGTCATGATGAGTATAGTTAATGTAGGAACCCTTAAAGGTTAATGTGTTCGTTGGGCTGTTGTCATGATGAGTAAGTTAATGTAGGAACCCTTGAGTTAATGTGTTCGTTGGGGTGTTGTCATGATGAGTAAGTTAATGTAGGAACCCTTGAGTTAATGTGTTCGTTGGGCTGTTGTCATGGTGAGTAAGTTAATGTAGGAACCCTTGAGTTAATGTGTTCGTTGGGCTGTTGTCATGATGAGTAAGTTAATGTAGGAACCCTTGAGTTAATGTGTTCGTTGGGGTGTTGTCATGATGAGTAAGTTAATGTAGGAACCCTTGAGTTAATGTGTTCGTTGGGCTGTTGTCATAGTGAGTAAGTTAATCTCTTAGGAACCCTTGAGTTAATGTGTTCGTTGGGCTGTTGTCATGATGAGTAGTTAATGTAGGAACCCTTGAGTTAATGTGTTCGTTGGCTGTTGTCATGATGAGTAAGTTAATGCTTAGGAACCCTTGAGTTAATGTGTTCGTTGGGCTGTTGTCATGATGAGTAAGTTAATGTAGCAAGGAACCCTTGAGTTAATGTCATTCAATTTGGGCTGTTGTCATGATGGAAGTAAGTTAATGCTAGGAACCCTTGAGTTAAAATGTGTTCGTTGGGGTGTTGTGTAGTTAATGCTTAGGAACCCTTGAGTTAATGGTACAAATTGGGCTGTTGTCTTGTGATGGAAGTAAGTTAATGTAAGAACCCTTGAGTTAATGTGTTCGTTGGGCTGTTGTCATGATGTGATAGTTAATGCTTAGAACCCTTAATTAATGTGTTCGTTGGGCTGTTGTTATGATGGGTAAGTTAATCTTAAGACCCTTGAGTTAATGTGTTCGTTGGGTATTTGTCATGGTAGTGGTGTCTTGGGAACCCTTGAGTTAATGTGTTCGTTGGGCTGTTGCTCATGATGGAAGTAAGTTAATGCTAGGAACCCTTGAGGTTAATGTGTTCGTTGGGCTGTTGTCTTGATGAGTAAGTTAATGTAGGAACCCTTGAGTTAATGTGTTCGTTGGGCTGTTGTCATGATGAGTAAGTTAATGTAGGAACCCTTGAGTTAATGTGTTCGTTGGGCTGTTGTCATGATGAGTAAGTTAATGTAGGAACCCTTGAGTTAATGTGTTCGTTGGGCTGTTGTCATGATGAGTGAGTTAATGTAGGAACCCTTGAGTTAATGTGTTCGTTGGGCTGTTGTCATGATGAGTAAGTTAATGTAGGAACCC